TCTTTTTAAGAATGTTGCCTTTAAGCTGGTGCGGTGGCTCATGCCTGTAATCACAGTGGCTTGGGAGGCTGAGGCAGGAGGATTGAGAATGTAAAGCCAATCTCAGCAAAAGCAAGATGCTAAGCGACTCAGTGAGACCCTGTCTCTAAATAAAATACAAAATACAGAATAGGGTTAGGATGTGGCTCAGTGGTTGAGTGCCCAAGTTCAATCTCCAGTATTAAAAAAATAAAAAATAAATAAAAAAAGATGTTACCTTTAAAAACTCAGCTGAGGTTGTGGCTCTAGCTCAGTGGTAGAGTGCTTGCCGGACACATGTCCACTTATAATTAAAAAATAAATATTTTTTAAAAAACAATATTTCAGGGAACTAATCCACTCTAGGATGACAGCTACTGGAGAGGTTGAGCCCAGTATTTAAGGCCAGTCTGGGCAACATTGCAAGATCCCATCTCTTAAAAAATAAATAAATAAAAACACATCTATGAGAAGCCCTGCCTGCATTTGAGTAGAAGGCAGGAAGGCAGTAACATATGTTGAATATGAGCACTAATATCATCCAGACACTTGAAAAGACTAAATATTTTTATTGTCTTACTTAATTCAAACAAGCACCTTGTACCTACTTTATCAAAGCATCAACTCTGGAGCCAACCTGCCTGGGTTTTATTCTTATTCTACWGCATTCTTACTGGGTAACATTGGCAGTTTATTTAACCTCTTTTTGCCTTGATTTCCTCATCTGGTTAATAAAAGAGCCTACTTAAAAAGGATATAATGAAGGGCTGAGGTTGTGGCTCAGCTGTAGCTCTCTCGCCTAGCATATGCCAGGCCCTGGGTTCGATTCTCAACACACGTAAAAATAAATAAACAAAATAAAGATATTGTGTCCAACTACAACTAAAAAATAAATATTTTAAAAAAGGATATAATGAAAATTAAGGGAAACAGTTCGTTCATTCATTTATTTAAATATTTGTCTGTTTATTTTTTATTTATTTGCAGCACTAGGGATTGAAGTCAGAGGTATTCTATCATTTAACTATATCTCCAGGGTCTTGCTCAGTTACCCAGATGGCCTTGAACTTGCAATTGTTCTGTCTCAGCCTACTGAGTATGGGGGAACTAGCATATTTAAAGTGCTTAGAACTATGCCCAGCAACTCTTTTTTTTCGGGGGGGGG